TCTTAAATTGATTAGAGTAACTTGTTTATTTTGAGTCTGAAATACTTAAATTATCTTAAATACCTGGATTATAACTTAATTATTTTAAGTTTATAGTTCTCAAATTATCTTAAATTGATTAGAGTAACTTGTTTATTTTGAGGATGGAGTACTCAGTTTAACCTGAATGAATTAGATTACAGCAGCTGTGAGTTTTCAGAACTGATAATATATATATATATATAAATACACCCATAATATTCAGTTCAACCTTATGTAATCTAACTTTGTGAAACACACTTAGCCATTGCACTCAAAGAGCAGGGGAAGGATTATTGTAAAAAGTAAACACATGGGACGGATTTTGGTGTTGATGAAGCTAGTTTAGCTGGCTGAGGTCATAATAAAATAAAGCATATTGGGGACCACGCAATGCACGCTGCGGAATAGTCGTGTGTTTTTTGTCTCCTGTCTAGGTCGAAGTAAATCTACAATTTAAGACAACAACCCACCGTGTGAACTGAAACAATAGTTGTGGTAAACGCCGACATGTCTCTAGATGATTTTTTTGTGCCTGCTGCATCGAGTAAAAAGAAGAAAGGAGGTCGGAAAGTTGGGGCTAATGCTAGCATACAGTATTACGTCCTACATCTTTATTGGATTATTTTCCAGTTAATAGTTTGTTACCTAATGATCCTTTTCTTTTCCTTCCTACGTTTCATATTGTTAAGATTGCAGTGAACAATTTGCAATTGTTGAAATGATTCTGAGAAGTAATTGAGTAAATATGTTTGAAAATCAGCTTAAGTTAAAAGAAAAGCTTAAAAAAAAGAGTTTTAAAACGTCAGGTTGCTAGAAACCCTGTTTGTCCGATTCAAATATAAACATATGTTAAGGTTGTTTATGACCTATCTGGTCCACTAGAAATTCTTTATTTTCCCAAATCCTATATCCAATTATGCTCCAATGTGCCTCATACTCATCTAGTAAATTATCTGTTTGATTCTAACTGTGGATGTTTATTTCCCTCTGCTCTCCAGGGTGCATCGATTCTCCTGATGCTAAATGCGTCCTTGCCAAAGGAGCAGGAATTTAAAAAAGGGATAATTCAGTATCTGAAAACATTTAGTGGATTAAATACAGAAACTAATGACCTTTGGAACAGCCTTACACAGGTATGTGTCTACTTTAAAAATGGTTGATATTGTTTTCATACGTAATCACTAGGAATCAGTCAGTGAGTCATTGATTCCATTCTCATTTGATTTGATCTTGTCCTTAATATGCAGTTAAAACACAGAAAAGTTGTAATTAATCTCATCTTGAGTAAAACGAATCATGGCTGAAAACCCCTTAATATTTTAGTCCCCAAACAAGCAATTGTTTTGCACATTGCTTTGAGTATGCAAAAAAAAAATCAGGTGAAGATCAGAAAAAGTCCTTTCTTGGTTTAATTTTTACATAAGTACTAGATATTCTGCTGGATTCAAAATAGGCACTTTTGTTAGTTTGGCTGCAGAAATGTATATTTTATCAGTTTTGAATTTCATGGTAAAAAAAAAATTCTAACAAAATGAGTTTAAATATGTTCCAGTGAAAATCATGAAAGAAAAAACAGAAATCTGCACCGGCAGTTAAACTAATCAGTGCAATAATAGCCATAACCTGTTATCATTACTACTGTTTCTCGCAGCCTGAAAGCAAAATTCTGTTCCCGCCCAACAGTGATCTTATTTCATTAGTTTTACAGTTCTATATACTTTGTTTAGGTCTTATGATCTTTATTTTAAATAAAAAAAAAACTAAATGTGGATCATGTAAAAGATTTGGTAATGACTTTTGCACCATTTTTTAAACAGAAGCTTGACCTAAATGTTAGAATATATTTTCTTATATTCTCCATAAAGTTTTCATTATTTAGTTGTAAAACTACTTGTTTGCTTTCCTGTCTGGATGTGGAGGTTTCCACACAAAGTCAGAATATTTCCGAGATGATGAGTACATGGGCATCACAGAAAGGTTTCCCATTGGTCACCATGAGTCGTAAAGGAGATAAAGTGATCCTCTCTCAGGAACCCTTCCTGCTCACATCTGACAGCACCACAAAAGGATCCAGGTGGGTTTTTCATCATCAGGCCAGTCAGTTCCAGAAATGCAACATTAAACACAACTCTGCTGCGATCTCTGTTTGTAGACTGTGGAACATTCCCATCACATACGTGAATGACAGCTGCAGTTTGGCCTCTGAGTGCAGACAGATGTTCACTCTGAAAAGCAAGACAGGTAGAGTACAAAGCTTTAGTTTGATGTAGATGTCGTTGTTCAGGGTTTTGTGTTTAATGATGAATGTTTGTGTGTTTAAGAAAATCTCAAGGTGCCAGAAAGTGTGCAGTGGCTAAAACTGAACTACAAGAACACTGGTTTCTACATTGTCGACTATGGGAACGATGGTTGGAATGCTCTCACTGATGCCTTGTCCAACAACAGCACTATTCTCACGCCAGAAGACCGAGCCTCACTAATACATAACATCTTTGCTCTGTCCAGGTACACACAGCACATCTCAACATTGTTTTCAAACTTTGAGGGGACCCAAATAAATTATGTCATTTGAGAGTTAATTTACTTAATTGATTCAAATTTATCAAAGCACATTTTGACTGAATGAATGCATCGATCCAGTGTTAGGATGTAGGTGATGGCCGTTCGGCTATAAAAGGAAATTTAAGTTGATTTAAAATCACCCTTCAGTTAATCTGCACCCTCAGCTTAGGTGTATTTCATCTTTATCATGAAAGAAATTCCATAGATCGATAGATGAAGATTTGGTCAGACTAGTTCACACGGACCAATCAAGTAAGTCTTGAGTCTAGTGATCTTGTGGAAGGGAAGGACTTTCAGGTACCAATTGAGTCCCCTTAGGTCTAAAATGGGGCGAAAAGAACCTGTCTTTTTTGCCACAAGGAATTATGTTGAGTAGTACTGTCTGGGTTGCCGTAGAGGATCGACAGCCTCAATTGCCCCCTTGCCCAGGATGGAGGAAAGCTCCTTTTGACACGGCATGAGGGGGAGGCCTGTGTCAGAACTGGAGCCTGTAGCAATGGGTTATTAGTCACAGTAAAGGCAGAGCCCATAGCTATTTCTAGGAGGGAAACAGCACTAAACACTGAAAAACAGACCCAGTTCTATCATCTAAGATGAAAGATGTTGATTGCTGGGTTATTTAGGCCTATATAGATAAGGACAATTTTAGCTTCAATTCTGGATTTAACATGAATCCAATGAAGGGAAGCAAAAAGGCGAAATGTTATCTCTCTTTTTAATTTTCACCATAATTCTACCTGAAGCTTCTTTTTCTCTCTATATTCTTTTATTAAAGATCAATTGTTAATTAATATTTCACTGTAACATTGCCTCTTTTCCTCACTGCGCTGGTTGATCATTAGACTGGGACGGGTACCATTTGAACAAGTCCTTAGCTTGCTAAACGCCATGTCCAACGAAACGGGGACTGCACCTGTAAAAGAAGCCCTGCTGCAGCTCAACCGCATCAACAGACTGCTCGATAAAAGACAGGAGTCTGGCTTGGTAGCTCGCATGAAGGTACTTGTTATTTAAATGTTTTGGAAAGTCAGTAAATATCAAAATAGAATCTAAATGTTAAAAATAACTATTTTATATTATCTGTAGGTCGTAATTTGAAAGCTGTAGCAATTCTTTATGTTGTATCAGTGAGATTGCAAAGGTTTGTTTTTTCCTCCGTTTATGGTGATAATGTATTCATGATTTTTTTTTTTCCTTTTCATTCAATAGACATACATTCTGAATCATTTTGGTTCTTTAATGAAGAATCAATCATGGGAAGAGGAGCAGAGTCTATCAAAACAGGAACTGCGCTCAAGCCTTGTCTTCACAGCCTGCATTCTGAATGAAGAAAGTTGCATCGACAAAGCCAAAAGCCTGTTCAAACAATACAAGGACTCCAATTTCACCATGAAGTAAGTGCAATATCTGTGTGACCTTTGAGTTAATAATATAATCTAAGATCTTTTGCAAACTGTCTTGAAATGGATTAAAAGTTGACAGACTTTATTTTGTATTCCTTTAGGATCCCAGGTGATTTGCAGCAGGCTGTCTTTACAGTGGCAGCTCAGTCGGAAGATGACTGGAAAACATTGCTCACCTTGTACACAACTACCAGCAATGATGCTGAGAAGCGGAAGATACTGAAAGGCCTGGCTTCTACTCAGGACCCGCGTCGTATTGTATGGTGAGGGTCTAAATGCCTTTGAACAGATTTATTAAACTGAATTCCTTCCCAGTTCTTTCAGGTTGTTACAAAACATTGTTTATTTTGGGGATTTCATGTGATGAAAATCAAAGCAAAAAAAAAAACAAAAAAAAACAATATGACAAACTTTAGTTTAATACCCCTAAATAAAACCTAGTGCAGTCATTTGTGTTCAGAATTCAACAAATTAGTAAATGTAGTCTGTCTATTAGTTGGTCAAACTTTTCACTTTGGAGACGTTGCTTTGTATGAATCTGTTCCCATAGTAGCTATTTTTCATGAACTGGACTTTATCTAAGATTTTTCAGAAGATTGTGAAATAAATTCTTAAAAAGGCTGTTTGCAGTTTGCCACCAGTCATGCATTGAAACATGATTACAGCAAACAGGAGGAAGAAGGTATTCTGGTCAGATAAGAGTGTCCAAAACACCAAAACAAGTACAAAACCGTATTTGTGATAAAAAAAACAATGCCTACCACCTTGAACACATCAAAACAGGGAGGGCGCCACAGCAAGCTGTGGAAATGCATCTCCTCAGCAGGGACGAGGAACCTGGTTTAAGTTATTTGCAAGTTGAAAGGAGCTGAATACAGGCAGTCTAAGAAAATAAGTTGTCAGAAGCTTAAGACCAGAGTCTTGGATGAGATTCCTCTTCCAGTACAACAATGAGCCTTAAAATAATGCCAAAGATTGAAAGGATTGCAAGTTTAGATCAAAACATTTACCATTGTCAGAATGACTAAGTAAAACTCCACACCTTGATCCAGTTAAAAATCTGAGCTTTTTAAAAAAAAAAAAAAAACAATAGGCACAATTTCAGGCTCCAGATGTACAAAGTGGGTGGAAACAAACCTCCTAAAGTCTGGTACCAGTAATCGCAGAAAAATTGTTTCTGAAATGTTTTTTCAATTTTCAAATGTACACCACAGTTTTCCTTGTTTTCTTATCTAAAAGAAAAACATATTCGAATTCTTTCAGTTCACAGTTATGTAGAATTCTTATTTAAAATACAGCACTCCATAATACCAGGACCAGGTTGGATTCCCATTTAATTTCAAGCTGCTGTCTGAAAACGTCTCAGTGACATTTTCATGAAGGTTTACTATAGCTATGATATCACATGTGTTTACTACCCTGAACAACACAGCTTTTATTTCTATGCTCTGGATATAATTCACACTAAAATAAAAATAATGTCTAGTACTGACAGGACTTATTAATTGAAAATATATAATACTTTTTCTCTTTCTTTCTCCAAGCATTTAACACTTGTGGCCTTGTGCATTATAAGCGACATTTGAACTTGTTGTTTCCATGTGTGCAGGATTCTGAAGGCCAGTCTGAATGGCGCTATCATCCAGACACAGGAACTGCCTCTGATCATCAACACCGTCTGTAACGGTTTTATTGGTCATTTGTTTGCTTGGGATTTTATTCAAATAAACTGGGACCGCCTCATAGAGAAGTAATTATCATAATATCAATTCCTTTTTAAGAACATTTAGGTCTTAATTTAACCTGCAATAAAAAGGTCAAAGATTCTGAGTGTCCTTAGAGCTTTCCCTTTGTCTGACTAGGTTTCCTGTGGGCTCTTTTGCCATCCAGACAATCATCAAATCCACCACCTCCCAGTTCTCCACACAGGCACATTTTGACCAGGTATTTATAAATATGACAGAAATATACCACATGATTGACCAACATGATGTAACGCATAATAATGAACTTAGTAGAAACACATATTCAATCCCCTCTGCTCAGATGTCTGCTCAGATAAAATCTAGTGTAAGCAGTTGCCTTAAGAAATTATGTAATTAGTACGTACAGTCCAGATAAGTATAATTTGATGTCAGTATAAATTCAGTTTTTCTGTAAAAGCCTGTTTTTCTTTATTGGGGTCAGGAAAGTTGGGCGGAGATTAAGGGTATCTCCAATGAGTAAAATATGGGGCAATTCTAAAATGTGTTGACAAACCAAAACTTATACAGAATTTCACTTTCGAGCAAGCAGTGAAATGATTTGGATAAAAGTATATCCTGGAAGTTGGGAATTTGTGGTACTTCATATCTTATAATCTGGTTGATGTTCCCAAGCTGTGAAGCACAGAAGTAGCGACAGAGAAGAAACCATCTTTAAAGCTGGTAAAGAAAATTCCCCCTAAAAACCTAAAGCAGGATTTATAAAGTATTGAGGCTAACTATAGAATCAAGTTTTTTTTATTTTCAGGGTTTTTTTATATGTTATACACATAGAACTTAAAAATAAGATCCAAATGTACACTACTTGTGCTACCAGGTTATAAAAACCAAGAGAATACATAGATCTTCTAATGAAACATAAAGGGAATAATTTCAGAACAATAGTATATTAAAGCCTGTAAACCTGAGGGACTAGAGGTTCTTTGATCCTTTCTGTCTTATTTAGGTCCAGGCTTTCTTCTCCAACCTGAAGCAGCGTGGCTCCCAGATGAGGAGCGTCCAAGAGGCTCTGGAAACCATCAGGCTGAACAAACGCTGGATGGAAAGCAACTTGCAAGCTTTGGGAAAATGGCTTTAAGAATGTTAATTCAACCTGAACTCACCTCAATAACAAGCAGGTGGGGTGCATCTTCAAGACGGCAGCAGCGTTTGCACTATTTTTGGACTCTGTCCCTTAACTCCCAGTATCTGGATTAGAGCACTAATTAAGAGCTCATTCTGGATAAAAAGTTTCTGAGATGAGTCCTGTCAGTTTTACTTGATAGCTCAGGGTGGTTCTGATTGTGAGTCTGACTCGCCGGTGTCAGACTCAACATACACTCCTCGTATTTTATGCTGTCGACCAAACCTCCTCCGCAGTTCTCATCTAAACCTTGTGCTTTATTAGACAATCATGCTTCAAAGAAAGAAACAAACCTCCTGTAGCTCCTGCTGCATCTCAGGCACCAAGCTGTTTAAGCTATAAAATGTCCTCTTGATAAATCCAATTTAAGATTAATGTCAACATCCCTAATGTATGTGTGTGAAGACACGGCAGGAGAAACATGCAGTTGTGTCAAATAAACCCCTATTACTCCTTTTACTAGAGCACTTAGCAATGGGGATCATAGGTTAGATGATTGATTGCTTAAAATGCCAAACTGTTTTGGCATTAGTTGAATGTAGTAAGAAACCTTCCCACTGTGTGAAGTCAAGGATGGACTGAAAACCAGGGCAGATTTTAATCACCCAATGTGTCTTACAGCAGGTGAGAGCAGGCAGCAAACACTGGAGCCAAATGGTCTCTTTATTTTAGTTACTCCAACCCTAGCTCTGATCCATATGTTTTATTCTGCTTTTATTGCCTCTAACCTTTTTTATTTTGAGTATATACCTGTGTAAAGTGTAACTTTAATGTAAATATGGTCAGCAGTGAGCTTTTGAAAATGTACAATTTTAGACATTGAATTTGAATATTTCACAACCTGGTCTCTGTTGTCTGTGTACATTGTAAAGTCCAGGTTATCTTGAGTTAAGGTCAAAGCTTTTTTTGTTACTTCTGTATTTAGACAACCAAAAAGAAGGTTTTTTTCTCATGAATGTTGTGTTACAAGGGCTACTGTGCATATTAGAGGTACAAGACAGATGTTAGAGATACCAGGCAGATGTTAGATTCCAGGCAGATGTTATCTGTTCGTACATGTTGACCGTTTTGTTGTTGCTCTGGTGTTAAGCAGGAGTGTCACGCCTCAGAATTAGTTATTTATTGAAATGTTTTTAAAGACAAATCCACGTCCAGAGAGGTACTTTCACTTCCCTGTTGCTACCTTTATTAACGTTTCCATTAAAGTTTCTTCTGTTTCACATGTTTAAAGACTGTGTATTTACATAACAGCGAGTGCCACTCCTACCTATAAAGATGCTGTAAGAGATCTGAAGAAATGTTCCTCTAAATGGTACCTTGAAAAAGGACGGGTTGACAAAGCTCTTGTCATTGATGGAGACAGAGCTGGATTAAATAAATTATCTAAACTAGGCTGACTGTATTTTTTGGGCCCCTCTCCAGCGATGTTATTTATGAATTGTAATTTAAGTTACCAAAGTTAATAATAAAAGTTAATTCACATCTTACATCACTTAGTCTTTGGTTACGACGTGTTGGTTCTTTCTATATCAAAATAATTCACATATATTAAACATTGTATGAGGCTTTTATTTACACTGCATTTATACATTACTGCAAGGCTCTACTAGATGCTATTAAATTATCCTTATCCGAATGTTATTAAGAAGGTAGTACCAGTAAATCACCAATAAGTCTGAGGTTAACATATTAAATAAGATAAATGGAAGCTATTGCATTTTGCAGAATATCATAATTACATTTTTTCATTAAATTGAATAGTCAAATGCAATATTTTATCAGAAAAGATTTAATATATTAAGTACTTATAACTAGAAGTTGGAGCTAATTAATTAACAAGTCATTCAAATCCAGGGTAAAACCAAGTAACTATTAGTCAGATGATTATAACTGTAATCTTCTTACCAGGGTCTTTCCCATAAAAGGTTGGACTCCTGGACTGGCTGTTAGAATCCAGTTCTCTTTCACCAATATAGTAATTTATTAGACTATTGCTATCAGCAGTTATTAATCACCAACCAAGAAATTTGAAACCTCAAATAAAGCTGCATCCGAATCTTTTTGGGAAGTATACTGCCTCACCAAAAATACATTTTTGACTCATAAGATAATCTTTGATTTTTATCAGAGCTTTAGATGCAATCATTTTGATAAAATAATGAATATTATGTATCCTAGTTCTGAGGTAGATTAATGGTGTATATATTAAATATTACATCCATTACAAAGTTGCAAGGCTGCACAAAAAGCCTTTATTGATGCATGGTAAAGATTTCTGTTGGCATTATTAGTTGATTTAGCAAATAATGAACTCTGTGGATTAACACAGTTTTATTATCTTAGTCACCTATTTGGTGTATCATTAATCAATCATCTGTTTATTTAAGATAATACTTCCTCTTTAGAATTAGATTCAGCCTGACAAAAGTATGCATTCATGTCGCTCTTAAACATAATACCCCTTCTTCTCTACGACATAAAATCACTGCAACTAAGTCTCATTGAAAACTACAGTTTTTTTTATGTCAAATACTGGTCATTCATTAATCGCGTAATTGTTTTTTTTTTAAGCTCCTCATGTAGCTTAAACTGTTTTATTTCCCCTCCTTTCTTAACTCCCAGGTTTTACGAATTTCCTATTTTTCACCGTTTGTACAGTTGAATTTCAATCATTTTATTAGTTTTCAGCACACATCTGCATCAGCACAGACCATCTTTTGAAGAGAATTCAGTGTTCATAGCTGCCAAATGTGGTTAGAGGTAAATTATTTAACCTTCCTGTTTGTTCACTTGCACTTGTAGCAAGAATACAGAGTTAGTGTTTACTTCTAGATAAAAATCTAAAAAAAAAAAAGTTTCTAACCCTAAATGTTGTAACACTTGTAAATTAAAATATAAATCTTGAGAGAACAGCTCATCTGAAGACTACTTAAAGGGATTTCTACTTCAAAGCAACTCACTGACAATCAGAATGTAAGTACATGTGTAAAAAGGTAATCAAAGAACCACAGCAGTGCTGTAAGGCATAATATAAGTGGCACTACTCTTACTTTCACTTTTAGGCCATTATATATCTTACCAGTAGATGGCAGTGAAGCTCTTAAAGTAAAAACGATTCTCAGGTTTTGCTTGCACCAATCAGTTTTGGTGGATTTGTACTTTTAGGCAGATAATTAACCTTTGAGTGAGAAGCTTTCAAATTAAAAGAGAAGGACAACAAGTATAAAGCCTTGTTGCTCCCCTTCTTGTGTATAGAATCATTACATAATGGTTAAAACTAAGGAGAACCATTATGGGGTTTTGGGGTTCTGTCATGATCTGGGCACTGAGGACCGGCTTAACTGCTCCTCTCATTCACCTGTCCAATTCTGTCCGGTTTTCTCATAACTGCTCATCTGATCCAACTGCCCCTGCCTCTATTTATAGTGCTTGCTCCCAGTCATCGGTGCCAGAATATTCAAGCTAGTGGTAAGAGTATTTTAGTGGAGATGATTGTTTGTGATGCTAAACTTTTCACTCTGTGGACCTCTAGGCCTGTCCATTCCCATGCTGATCTGTTTGCTTGACCTGTCTTCAGATTCTGTCTTATTCTAATGTGGACTGTACCTGGATCTTCCTCTTGGCTTCGCCCTTTGAATATTCTGCCTTCCGTCATCTTCTCAGATCTGATCTCCTGTCAGTTCTGTGTCCGTCAAGGCTTCGGCATCTGGAATTCTCTGTTCGGCAACCACTGTGTCTTGTCACCTGACCGGCTGGTATCAACCTCGTTTTCTGGGCATGGACTGAATTCTAAACCAGATTAGTGACTCACACCTTCAGATCATCCTCCATCAGGTTTTCGTGGTCACTAACCTGTGTTATCTCTTGCCAGAGATACATGCCCTGGATACCCTAGCCGCTGCTGCTGCTGCAGATCTGCAAACTCTTTGTTGTTGCTTTGATAAATGCTTTTAAGTTATCCAACTGTCTGTGGGACAACAGTGCCTGAATACTGAGTCCCTCTGTTCTTAGTCATCAGATAATATGTGAGCCACACCGTCTCTTTGAGCGTCTGGGGACAGGGTCAGAGAGACAGTTATTTGACAGCCACAGCTACACACAGAAACAAGAAGGGTTGAATTAACAAACATTTTCAAGTGTTTCACTAAGATCAAGTTATGCATTTTGAACATTCATATTATGAATGTAAATTGTGTGTTTAAAGAAAGATCCAACTACCTGAAATTACTGAGAAGTAAAAGACAACTTATACTGTACTGTGGATTCAATCTCCAACCCATCCAGAATTAAAATGGTTTGAGTATATGTTTGCTAATTTGTGTATTGGTATTGCCATCTTTAAATCACTGTTATTGCATAGATAAATTACTTATATACTCTTAATATTTAGATATAATAAAATTCTTCCATTATTGAATAAAGCAGGAATGAAGCAATTCTGACCTATGACCTCAATGCCAACTTTAAAAGATTTATCCACCCCCTGAGAGTAGCCATCCCTACCCTTATTGACTTTGCTGATTGGCTAGAATACGAAAAGCACTTCCTGAACAACTGTTCTAACTTTAAGACTTTGAGCAAAGAACAGAAGGTGACTTGGATTAAAACAAATACTAAGTGTTGTGGACGATATCACCAAGCGGCAAAGTGTACACTTGGAGCTCCCTGCAAAACCTGTGGTAAGAGACATCTGCTAGTACTGCATGAGGTGAATGAGAAAGCAGAGGAGGAACAAGCATCAGTTTCACCTTCAGCAGAAAGCTGCCTTGTTAACACTGCAAACAAAATCATGTATGTTGACCGGCCAGTCTACAACTGCAAGGTGCTACTAAAGATCAGTACGGTACTCCTGAGAAATAGTGACAAGCCCCTTGAGATGTATACTGTTTTAGACAATGTATCAGAGTGGACAATACTGCTTCAGTCTGCTGCCAAACAGTTACCTGTAGGCCTTAAAGGAAGTAAGGAGGTCCAGGGGTGTGTCTTTCACAATTTTCCCAGCAGCCAACCCGAACAAAGTGTATGGCATCCACAATTCCTTTACAGCCGAGCAACTGAGTTTAGCAGAACATTCCCATCCAGTTGTCTCACTCCAGCAGAAGTATAAACATCTGTCAGGTGTGCCTCTGCTTCCTCTAAACAGAGTCCATCCCATGTTGCTGAGTGGTGCTGATTACGCACACCTCATTACACCTGTGGAGCCGGTCAGACTAGGACCACCTGGTGGGCCAGCAGCAGTGAAGACTCTCCTTGGGTGGACACTACAGGGACCAGCTCAAGCCATTGAATCCATCACAAAGGTTCACCTCCTCTCCTCTTCTATATTGTCACCCCCAGAGCTGTTCTCCTGTGTAGGGAAATTATGGCAGATGGATGTGCTCACTTATTGCAGTAAGAAGTTACTAGTTAGGTCTCGACAAGATCAAGAGACAGTCATGCTCCTAGAAGAACAAAAAAGAGTCATTGTCAGTGGTGTTGAGCATTATGCTACACCCCTTCTTTGTATCAAGAACATGCTTCTCCAGAATGCCACACCAGATACAGGTTTGCCTCTCCTGAGAGGCATAGAGAAGTGCCTAGCCTACTCCCAAGAACAAGCTGCTGCTAAGCAGAAGGAGATAGAAAAGTTGGAGATGTTGGTGGATCATCAATCTGAGACCAGTGATGAAGTTTAGTATACCGTATTTTCACGACCATAAGGCGCACCGTACTAAAAGGCGCA